CTCTGGGGCACGTTCCCCTCCAGCTAAAAACTGGAGAGCATGCATGAAATATAAAGAGTTTTAGAAAAGCATGGAAGGAAAAGCTACCAGCACCCACACAGCTGCTCCAGGGACAATCCAGACAGAGGGGGTTAAAAGTTCATTTGCAGAAGCAGAACAAAACCTTTTGCTAATTTACACATTACAGGAAGCCAAGCCCAAAAAAAACCCAGCGAACACCTACAGGGCTTTTTGTGGTGGTTTGTAATTCTGCAGAATCTCATATTAAAAACAAAAGCAGAGGAGTGAGAGGGAGGCAGAGCTGGCAAGGGCAGGCACGGAGTCCTGCAGGGCTGTCTCGCCTCTGCAGAAGCATCACCGGCTCCTCCACCAAAACACCTGAGGGAGAGCAGAGCAAAGGGGAAACCAAAGGTGCTGCTGATCCCCACAAGGCTCTGGTACCGCCAGCTCCAGAGCACAAATCACAGAATCATCGAACAACAGAATGGGTTGGGTTGGAAGGGACCTTAAAGCCCAACTCATTCCAACTGGAGAAAAAGGAAAATGGGTAAAAGAGCACAGCATGAACCTGACCCAGGACAGCCAAGCCCCAGGCAGGATTCTCCCTGTTCTGCAGGGCAACATGTACCTACAGAGAGTCTCCTTCCATGTCACCTCCCTTTTACCACCCATACGAGCACCCAGATCCTTTGGGTCACTTGAACTCCAGGGCTTTGCCTGGATCCAGCACTGCTGTGACCCAAAAGGAGCAGAAACAGGCACTGGCCATAAAAATGGCATTCCCAAAGGAAGGCACTGCTCCAAAGGCAGCAAGGAGGATCACTGCCTTGCCCAGCCACACCGGCTCACAGACAGCTCCCCGTTTGCTTCTGGCAGCCAAATCAGGCGAGCAGCACACGAGAGAGGGGCATCTCAGAGGCCTCAGTGGCTAGTGGAAATTTCCAGAACGTCCTGGACAAGAATGACTTACTGGAAGCAATACATAAATCAAGCAAATGAATAGTTACCAGACAGCAGCATAAACAGCTGCCACGGGGATGAAATCAGACCTGCTGTGCCAAGAGGCGTCAGCCTCCTCGCCGGCTGCACCTTCGGGGGAAACCGGCAAAACAACCCACGGAAAAGCACGTTCCTGGGGGAGCTGCCACCCCTGGCCCTGCACAGGTGCCCCGTGGGGTACCCTGGAGCTGCTGGGCACAGAGGCTCCGTGGAGAGCTCCGGAGCAGCTCCCGTGGGGCTCTGCAGGGCAGCGCAGCCCGGGCGCGGCGCGGAGCCAGAACGAGCCCTGGCTGTATTTTTAGGCAGAAGACCTGGAGGAATTTCTTCTTCTCCTTTGCCAGCAACCCCTGGTTGAGCAGCGAGCCCTCCGGAACGCGCCAGGCTCCGTGTCTGGCCCCTGCAACAGCCAGGGTTTTGTGGATCCCCATCAGCAGCTGCCCTGCAGAGCCGTGGAAAGCAGCGCCCTGATAAACAGCAAACGATCTGTGCAGGAGATAACAATCGCTGTCATCTCGGTGAAAACAGTAAACTAGAGAACACTGCCACAGCAAAACCAAAGGGAACCAGCCGGTGTTGGCCAGGCCACAGCTGGGAGTGATTAGAGATAATTAATTCTGCTAAATACACGCAGGCTCAGCTCGGCTGCAGCCTCCTCCGCGGGCCTGACCCTGGCACAGAGCAGTGGGTGCGTGGATCAGGGGCTGCGTGGGGCAGCGGCAGCGATGCCAACCCACAGAAGGGGTACGAGCCTGGCACCATCTGTGCTGGAGAACCTGCACTGCCTGCCACAAGAACAAAGCAAAGCTCAGGTGTCAAATTATGGCCACGCATGAAAAATAATTCCCCTAAATGCTTGAAATATAATCAGAGTGAAATCCCCCTGCTCTGCACCTCCACAGCATTGACTCCTGGGTGAGAAAGTACATTACAAAAGAAGAAGGAGAGAGGGATGATATTGCAGCTCCACTAACAAAAATGGCAATTTTCTGCAACCAGCTCCACTCCAGCTGCAGTCCTGGCACAGCAACCACCAGCCTGGCAACACCACAGGCACCTTGTCTCGCTTTGACTTATTTGGCATTCAAACAAATTGGTTTAATCACAGAATCCCAGACTGGTCCAGGCTGGAAGGCTAAAAGGAGCAGGAATGGGACAGCTCCTGCTCTCTGGGCCACAGTGAACAACTGCCTGGGCATGCGGACATGAGGCAGAAGGCAGCACAAATGGGCTTGGAGATGCAGTAAGAGGCAGAAATCAAAATAGTTTTCTATCAAATTGCTTCTCACCCTCTGCCCTGTCTGTGCCTGCTCCTGAGATTTGTCCTCTCCCTCCTCTGTGGCCCCTCTCGCTGCACCCCAGTTCTGCCATGGGACCCAGCACAAGGGGAAGGGCATTGCTGAGCCACCTCCAAGGCACTTATCCTGTCTGATACTGGGGTTAAGAATTGCTGTTTTTGAACATTTCAGCTTTCTTGCCAGTTTTATAAAAACTGTTAATAATTTAAAAAACCTGTTAATAACCGTTAATAAAAACTGCAGCTTCCTCACATGAGGAGCTGCACATCCCTCATCAGTGCAGCAGAGCACGTACACCCCAAAAACAGAAGTCAGAAACCACCCAAGACAGGCTCTTTCTTTACTTGACCGACTCAGCCTAAGTTCTGGTTTTAGTGTCAGAACTCTCCACAGCAAGACTGTGAGAAATATTTTTTTAGCTCATCTGATAAGCATGCAAATCTTGATTATTCATATGTTACTTAAAATAAAAAGCCCAGACAGAACCAGATGAGACAAAGCCCTGCAAGCAGTGCAGCCCAGCTTGGCAGGGGCAGCCAGAGGCCCTTGGCTTTGCCCCTGTTGGCTGTGGGTGCCCTGCTGGCTGTCCTGCTCTCAGCAGAGCAGAGCCAGCCCGTCCCACCCGTCTGGAGCATCCCTGGGGCAGCCAGGCCCTCCCTGCTGCACCTCGGCCCCCCCCTCCAAACATCTGCTGCAGATGTGAAGGTTTCTCTCCATTCTTGTCTTTAATCGGGCTCAATGGCACTGCAGCCTCCAGCAGCTCTTTGAGAGAGTAATGGACACAAGGCCTGGCTGCCCCATGGGCATTCCTGGATCAGGGGAATGCTCCTGGATCAGGGCTCTGCTCCTGGATCAGGGCAATGCTCCTGGATCAGGGCTCTGCTCCTGGATCAGGGCTCTGCTCCTGGATCAGGGCACTGCTCCTGGATCAGGGCACTGCTCCTGATCAGAGGAATGCTCCTGGATCAGGGGAATGCTCCTGGATCAGGGCAATGCTCCTGGATCAGGGCAATGCTCCTGATCAGAGGAATGCTCCTGGATCAGGGCTCTGCTCCTGGATCAGGCACTGCCCCTGGATCAGGGCTTTGCTCCTGGATCAGGGCACGGCTCCTGGATCAGGGCTCTGCTCCTGGATCAGGGCTCTGCTCCTGGATCAGGGCACGGCTCCTGGATCAGGGCTCTGCTCCTGGATCAGGGCTCTGCTCCTGGATCAGGGCAGGGGCTGCAGGACCAGCCCCAGGGGATGCTGTGAGCCCATCCCTGGGCTGGCTGTGCCTCTGCAGCCTAGGATCCCCCAGGAATGGCACCAAGGCTGGAGAGCTCTGCAGGCTCTCACTCCTCAGCTTCCGGCCCTTCTCTGAGATAATTTTTTTCCTATTAAATAACACTATGAGCTGTTTCTCTTCCCAAAATAGCATACACCACCACACACAGATTGTTTTGTTTGAATTGCTTCCCCACTGAAGCAGCACAAACCCCACTGTAAACCTGACTCCACATCTCTACCCCATCACCAGGTTTTTCCTTCAGATGGAAAACACTGAAGCAGTTACAGATTCCCTGCACACAGCAAATCACAGAATCCCAGAACACTTTGGGTGGGAAGGGACCTTAAATCTCACCCAGTTCCACTCCTTGCCATGGACAGGGACACCTCCCACTATCCCAGGGTACTCCAAGCCCTGTCCAAGCTGGCCTCAGACACTTCCAGGGATCCAGGGGCAGCCAGAGTTCCTCTGGGCAATCCCATCTGGCTGATGGGTGCACCTGGAACCGCGGGGCCTTGGCTTCAGGCTGTAAATGCAGAAGGTTTGAAACCAACGCCTAAACCAGCAATTCGGTTTCTAACAGCCTTGCCAGGGACCCCATGGAGCAGACACAAGTCCAGGAGACAAGAAAGTATCTGGAGCTGTGTTTAAGCCTGTTTCAAGTACCATTTGTTATTTTTTCATTTAAACAGATAACTTGGACTCTCCAGATCTCCTCCTAAGCAGTTATCCCGACTGAGCCATCCCCAGGTTTCCCAGTCCTGCCTCAGCCCTGCTGCTCCTGCAAACAGCAAGGGCAGGTCCAACCCTGCAGCCTTGAGGCTGCCACAAACACCTGATGATGCTTTCACGTCTAAAACACTAATCAAAGGTTTCCATGGGAACCTGCAGGAGCAGGAAGAAGATGGGAAATTACAGGTCAGCTCTACGACCAAAAGAAAAAAAATTATCCCGTTCCTTCGCCCTTGCAAAGTTTCAAGGTAACACAAAAATATTGATTCATCAGGGTGCATAAAGGCAGAAAATACGCCCCAGAGCAGTCATTTGTTGCGCAAAGAAATGAATTTTAGTCCTTCAGTGGCAGGTTTGCTCTGAAACAACGTGAGGAGCTGCACCTGCACTCTGCCTCCTGGACAGCCTGGGTAGCTAAACCCATTCCAGGGCATCAAAAGCAACACACAAGGTTCCCAGGAGTGAGGGGGCTCCTGGTGCTGCTGGGGGCTGGGGCTGGCTGGGAAGCTGGGAAGCTCCTGCCCCTCATCCCTCATCCCCCCTCCCTCCCCACTCGCTCTCTCGGCCTCGCTTCGCTCACACGCCGCTTCCAGCTGCCAACCAGAAATGACTCAACACCACACACACACAGGGAAACTTTTCCACCACTATTAACTTTCAGAGGAAATGGAAAAAGGAGAGAAAAACACATCAGTCATAAACCTACTTTGCCAAATGGTTCATGAGCAAGTGCAGCATCTGCCTGTTTTTCTCCGGGAGCCGATGAACGAGGCTGTGGATCTCTGACACCCTGGACTCCTGATTCTCCAGCTCTGCATGGGCAAGAGCAGATTTATCTCCACATTAGGGGCTGTTATGGGAAGAGGCCTAACACTGTCCCTGACAGACATCCCAGGGAGCTGCTCCATCCCACAGCCAGGCTCTGCAGATCCACGTGAGCAGCACGGTGAGCAGGGCAGGGCTGGCTGCCACCAGAGCGATTCCAGGGGTGGCAATACGGGCACAGCCCCATGCTCAGTGTGCCCAGGGCAGGCCAGGCTGGAGCACCTGGTGCCCCACAGCCTGCTTGGGTCCCTGGTGCTAAGTGGGAGCTGCTGGAGGAGCCCAGCACTGCCACGGCCGTGGGCCACGGGGCCCCCCTGACATCCCACTCCCATATCTACAGGCTGCACCAGAAAATCCCCTGCTCCCAGCAAAGCCCTTCCCCTGGGCAGTGAAGGAAACACGGCCCAGACACCTGAAGCAGCCGTGAGCCCCTCAAACAGTGTGCAGCTCCCCAGCAGCCCATGGTCCCTGCCAGCTCCCTCCTCCTCTGGTCACCCTGCCCCAGCTGCAGCCTTGCCCTGCTGGCCAGGACACAGCTCCAGGGCAAGGGGAGTGCTGGGGAGGCAGCAGGGCAGGGGGATCACAGCCCCTGCCGTCCTCTCCGGGAGCGGGGCCATCAACTCCAACAAACTCACTCGCTGCTTTGATGAAGCTCCTTTGAAACTGGTACATCATGAGGGGCCCCGGGAGCATTCTGGAAGATAAAAAGGAAAACAGGCACAAAACACATCTGAGGAACACAATCCACAGTAAGAAAGCTTTGCCCCTACAGTAAACTCAGCTCCATTTTGAAAAGGGCAGAATTAAGCAACACCAACTCTAATTAATTCCCCCCATCAGAAGGAGTAAGATCTATGCAAGGACCTTTGATTTATTCACCACTAAATTAATCTTTAATTTTAGCATTCCTTCAGTAACACAGCTTCAGTGCATTACTGATCTCGTGATTTACAAGTAAGTTTGAAAATAAATTAAAAAGATAAACAAGCCTAGCTGTAAAACTTTCCCAATCCCCATTCCCACTGTCCCCTCCCACTGCTGCATCCCTTCAGAGGGACACACTGGTGCTGCCCACATTCCTCTTTGATTAGCCAACAGTTCAGACTCCGGAGCAAAGGTTGCCAATCATGCAAAATTCTGTGATTTTCTAGGCTGAGAGCCACCAGGCTAATTACACTTATCACCCTAATTGGATTTAGGCTCTCTCTTGTGCTCCCTCACTCTCTCAAACACAGCCCAGCACATAAGAGTCACTGAGAGCAAGGAGCTGTGGTCACGACAGGTAGGAGCACGCTGTGGATAATGAGATGCTGCTGCCTGCCAACACCCAGTCGTGTTGGGAAGATCCCCAGGATGATACTGGCTTGCCTGACACCCAGAAATCAGAGCTACAATAAAGCTCAGCACCAGGTCTGGTAAAGCTCTTCAGCCCCTGCCCTTACACAGCACTGCCCTGCCCTTCTGCCACATGCTCAGAAGGTGGAAGTCCACTGGGAAAAGCTCAGGGGAAAGCTTAAATCAAGGCAGGGGATGCAAGAATGAGCTACTAAAATCGTGTCTGTATAATACGTGCATCTGTCAGAGCTGAGTGTGTTCCCCAGATCCTACTCAAACATACTGGGAAGCCAGGAAAAAGCCAGGATAAATTACCCAACAGCAGTTTCTGCTCTGTTTCTATAAAAGTGCTGTTGTTAAGGGTCTGCAATAACAGGCAGTAAAATCCCAGGCCAGCACCAAACCCCTCCTGAAGCCAGGCAAGCTTTTTCTCCTTACCTCAGATATGTTTTCAGTGCACTGGTAATGGTCTTGATCTCCCACTCTGCACAGATCTCTGTGTCTGTCTCCGTGGCAGTCTTGGGATCTATGGAATTAGACAAAAAAGCAGTCACTGAAGGAAACTGAAGACAATTCCAGCTCGTGCCAGCTCAGCTGTGTGGGGAGACCATCACACCCCATTTTATTTGCTATTCCCAGCTCAGGACATATCTGCAGGGGTGGAGGACAGGCCAAACTCACTGGCATGGGATGAGAAAGAAAAGGGAATCCTCCATCCCGAGCAAGGACAGGGCAGTGTGGCTTGGAGCGAGCCAGGACACCAGGCACAGCAGCCTGGGGTGCTCAGTGACAGCAGGGACAGCCAGGCACAGACACAGGACACAGGGACCCCCCTCCCCACAAGGGCATCGTCATCCCACAGCCACCTGCCCAACCTGCACAGGACCTGCAGCCACCTGCACAGCCACCTGCACACTGCACAGGGACCTGCACACTGCACAGCCACCTGCACAGGACCTGCAGCCACCTGCACAGCCACCTGCACACTGCACAGCCACCACCAGACCACTGGGAAGTGGGCTCAGGCACACCACTGAGACCCAGATGGTGACAGCTCTGAGCTGGGGCCAGGAACCCCAAACCCAGGCCAGGAGCACCAAACCAAGTCCAGGAACACCAAACCCAGGCCAGGAGCACCAAACCAAGTCCAGGAGCACCAAACCCAGGCCAGGAGCACCAAACCAAGTCCAGGAGCACCAAACCCAGGCCAGGAACATCAAACCCAGGCCAGGAACACCAAACCCAGGCCAGGAGCACCAAACCAAGTCCAGGAGCACCCAGCCAAGGCCAGGAACACCAAACCCAGGCCAGGAACATCAAACCCAGGCCAGGAGCACCAAACCCAGGCCAGGAGCACCAAACCAAGTCCAGGAGCACCAAACCAAGTCCAGGAACACCAAACCCAGGCCGGGAGCACCAAACCCAGGCCGGGAGCACCAAACCCAGGCCAGGAGCACCAAACCCAGGCCAGGAGCACCAAACCTAGGCCAGGAACATCAAACCCAGGCCAGGAACATCAAACCCAGGCCAGGAACATCAAATCCAGGCCAGGAGCACCAAACCAAGGCCATGGAAAGTCTGGCATGGAAGTGCCCCGTGTGCCCATCTCTCCTGCCTGCATGCTGCCCCACCAGTGAATGGTCTTTGCTAACTCCACCTGGAAGCTCAGCCAGGATCCTGCTCCCAGCAGAGCCCCAGGGAAGCCCCCGTGGGGGTCCCTGGTGTGGGTCCCACCAGTGCCAAGTGTCCCTGGGTGCCAGGGCTCCCACTGTCCCCAGGGCCCAGGGGGACACAGCCACAGCTGCCAACACCATCTGCTCCCACGGGATCAGCTCAGGGGTTTTTTACCTCTTCACAGACACAAATAATGTACTTTTGAATTTTAAAGCCCCATGTAAGCATTGGGCAATTTTTAACCTACTTAAAAGAATGCTGTGAATAGAGTTCAGCTTTCCCTTCGGGGCAAAGGGTTTATTTTAATTTAAAGAAATATCAAGAGGCGCTTGGAAAAGTAAATACATAAGAAATGCATATTCACACAAAGATCACGTGTGTCTCAGCAATCACACAAATGACCTCCATCCTCCTGACTCACTGCCCGGGAAACTTCCTACAGCACTGCCTTTACAAGGAGAGAATTCTAAGATAAGGAGTCAAATAAGTTTGGCACAGTAAAAAAAAATGAAAAAAAAAAAACCCAAAAAAAAACCCAGAAGTTCCATCTTTTTTTATTTTTTTACAAAAAGCTTTTTAAGAAAAGTAGAACAAACAGCTTCAGAGCATGTCTTTGCAAAGGCTCCCCCAGCAGCTTCTAGGCAGGATCATGGAACAGGAGGTGAAATTCCACAGTCAGTCCCATGAAAAGGCTCAGAGCAGTTAATCAGCTCCCCTTGACCTTCAAATTCATGAGTCTGCAAGAAGCTGTGCCTGGGCTGCAGCTGCAGCATCTGTCTCCCCAGGCAGCGGGGCCGTGCCAGCCCTGCCTCCCACAAGGACAGCCTTCCACAGGAGCTGGGCCAGGGGCTGCAAAAGCACCCACAGCCCAGCCAGCATGAACCCTGCAGCTGCTTCCTGCTGCCAATCCCTGATCTGATGTCCCTCACAGATTTCTAAATTTCTCCAGGGTGAGGGGAAGCAGCTCATCACCCCAGTGTGATTGTCATGGAGAGACTTCCAAAACTGCCTCAGGGATGCCACAGCCCAGCAGTGAGGGGCTGCAAGGAGCCCCACTCCCAGCCCTTATGGCCCATGTGGCAAAGGAGCAAGAGCAGATCAGATGCTGTAACTCATCTTCTGCAGAGTTCAGACCTGCTGGGGCCCCACAATGAACCCTCTCGTGGGAGCCCCCAGTGATGAAAGTTTGGTTATTTGTTGGGTTTTGCCCTCATTTTGGTGGCACATGGTACCAGTGAATGCTGGGGAGATGATCTGCCCCCCAGCAGCCCTGGGAGCACCCCTCACTGCTTCACTCCAGAGCAGACCCCGACAGGATCTGCCCTGAAACCCAACCCAGGGCAGGGGCAGTGCCCTGGGGCCACCACAGAAACCTCCTGCAGGACACCCTGCCCAAGGCACAGCCACTGACAGCAGCTCAGGGAAACTCGATCTTTTTGCCATTTCAACTGCATGTGAAGCAGTACCGCTGCCCACATTCATTTCTAAATATAAGGGGAAGCTGACAGTGGAAGCACAGCTTGGCTCCTCCATTCACAGGGAGCCCGAGGGCAGCGAGAACAGATGGGGTTTGACAAGGGACACGTTTCTGTGTGACACTGACTGCACACACAGCCCAAACACGGGGCCAATGGGGATTTAATCCCCCAGTTTGGAGAAACTATGGAGCCACGGGTTTGCAAAGCACCCCAAGGTCGACACCTGGGGGATTCCAAGAGGGGTCCCACTGCCAGCCCCGACTGGCCTCCAGCAGGGCCTCCAGCACCACCAACCAAGGAGGACACACCAGGACAAAGGAAAAGCAGCAGCGATTTATCACCTCCTTATGAGCCACCAGGGCGACAGCTGAGTGGCTTCAGAGGCTGAGGAGATAATGGATGCTGGATGGGGTCCAAAACTGAATCCCTTGCAGCTCTGCAGAGCTCTTCACCCAGGCCAGTTCTGCCATCTGTCACAGCCTGGGGACTGACACCAGCACTGACAGCTCTGTGACAGAGCGAGGTCCATGGCCCTGCCACCTGCAGGATGTGTGATGAGCATCACCCAAGGACCTGCCAGGACCTGCCAGGACCTGCCAGGACCTGCTCCGGGGCACCAGGCCAGCCTGTTTCTATCAGCAGTGCTCTTGGACCGGTGCTGTCCCCGTGCCCACCGTGTGTGTGCCACAGGACAGCCCTGGGACTGCAGGGCACCTTCAGAGCCCCAGCCTGTGCCAAACCTCTCTAATAACAGCACCATCACCAGCTCTCATGACTGCAGTGAACTTTCCAAATGCCACAGCAAAGAGGTTCCCTGCACCCAGATTTGGGCCCTGCCCTTCTACTGCAATCACCTGGATTATCTATTTCCACAGTTTAACACTGACAGCTGGAACAGCCACCATGGGCTTTGCTCACTGAACACCTTAGTGTGAGGAAAGAAAGAGGAATTGGAAAAGGAGAAGGAAAAGATGTTGAAACACAACAGATAAAAACCTTCTGCAAGAAGAAATATACAGAGAAAGGAGCACTGGAGTTTTGTGAGGACGAGGAAAAGGAAATCATGTAGAAAAGGGAAATAGTAAGTGAAGGGGAAGAAGATGACCAGAAATGCCAGGCATTTGCCCCAAGGAGGAACAAACACATTCAATAGGGCACTAGCAAATATGTAAGCATTTGTTTCCCTATTCCTACAGCCCTTCCATCTGTGCTTTTGCCAAGTCTGAGCAGCCTCACACAGAACTGGCCAAGGGCAGCTGCCCTGCTCCAGCCCAGCTCTGTTCTCTCTTCCACTGTTGTGTCTCAGGCATGTCTGGACAGATGGACAGACTGGTCCAGGGCTGCAGCTGAGGGACTGAAATGCTGCCTGTGAGGTCAGGGCTGAAATGGTTCTTTCCCCACAGCCAGAACAAACCTCTGCTGTGCCAAGACTCAGCAGCTTGGAGCATCCAGAACTGCAGGATCCAATGCCTCAGCCATGAGGGAAACACATGCTGGAAAACTGGGCAAGACTGAGATAAATAGGCACAAGAAAGTCCATGGGGAAAGCAAGAACAGCCAGGGGCAGCATGCAACATCCAGGAGAAAATCATTTCAAAGGGTGCTGGGAACAAGGGGGGCAGGTAGGAGATGAAAAGCCAAAGCTTTCACTATTTCTTTGAAGATTTTGGTTTGCATTTGGGTAGGCTGCCAGAACTCAGAGCATGTGTGAGCAGGACAGCAGTGACTGCAGCAGGACCTGGTGAAGCCAGTCCTGCACGAGCCCTACCTTCAGAGCTGCCCACGGTGCCCAGGACTGCCTGGCCTCGACCAGGTCCTAAGGGCACAGTCACCACCATTAGGGACCCCCACAAGAGCCTCTGCTCCTGCTTGGCCAGGCTCAAAGCAGCACAGGCCACTTGCCTTTACCAAAATTCCAGACACTCACCCATCAATATACTCAGCAGCTTCTGAACTCTGGAGTTCACCCCGACAATCCGGTAGAGCCCCTGCTCATTGATCCCTAGGAAGGACAAGGGACTTGTTAGCACAAGGTCACAATGAAACCTTCTCACCTATCAAATACAAAGCCACAAAAGATGGTAAAATTTGGGGTTGATATCAAGGTTTTCACTATCCTTTCATTAGAAGTGTTACCCCCAGTTAGCTCAGGAATAAGGATCTGAGGACACTTTTCCTCCTTCCCACAGCCATGGCAGCCCCATGCAGCATCTGCACTGAACCAGGATAATCTGGGGAAATATTTTGCTGTGTCGAGTTTTTCAGGTTGAGGTCTGAGCCTTTTGCATCTGACCTCCCCCTGCGGGGCTGGGACAATCCCACCTGGATACGAGGAGACTCACAAGAGGTTTTGGGGACAGAATCCCACACGAGAGGACGTGCTGGGCAGCATTCCTGCAGGAAGGATGCTGAAGTGAACACCCCTCTGCACAGCCAGGCTGTTATTGCTATCTCTGCCCTGTGTCTGTGAGTCCCGCTGGCCCAGCCGTGGGGCAAACGCTTCCAGCATCGGCCCCAGCACGTTCTGGGTTTGTCTGATGTGGCTGCAAGGGCTCATGAATCATTCTGTCCATGAAAAGGGCAGGAGAGCAATTGCTCCCCTGCCAACAGCTGCCCCACAGCAAGCCCAGCCTGAGGCTGCCCTACCTCTTGTTTCCACGGCGTGGATGCACTTCTTGATGATGCTGAAGCCGATGCTGTCCAGCTGGGCAGCTGCAGGGGAAGGGCAGAGAGCAGGGTGAGCAGCTGGCAGGGCAGGCTCACAGGGAGCACCAGGCTCCTCCTGAATCCCTGCCATCCCAGCAACGCACCGCTGCCCACAGGAGATAAATGAGGGCAGAAAAAGACAAGAACAGCAGTTTGTACCAGCATAACCCTGGCAAACACAGGCACTGATCATCATTCCAGCCTCCACATGCCTCTGAACCAGGCCTGCCCTGGGCTCTGCCAGGCATCTACCAGTGCAGATGGACACAAATTAATTTAGGATCAAGGTGACATAACCCAATTTGTCTGGAAAGTTGATGGTGGGTTGCTTGGAAAGAAATGAAATTGTAGATTTGGACACAACATATCCCTGAGAATGGCACATGAGGTGCCTTGCCTCTGTCCAAGAGTGAGAGCTAAAACATGAGAGTTAATGGGATGTACAAGTCAATTCACCTGTGCCAATGCAGGTTCTCATTCCTAGGTTCAAGGAGTTGCTAATACAGGGATCCCAACACCTGCTGGAAGAATTCATCCCACAGAGAGTTTTCCACCACTGCCTGGAAAACACCGCCCACAGCCAGCCACTTGCTATGGAAAATTAGTTCCTCCCTACAGAAAGGTTTGGGAAACCTTCCACAGGGCAGGAACCCCTCAGGGAAGGGTGGGCAAGGCCCCCAGAGCCCAGGGAATGCTGTGATGTGACAGACACAGCTCGTTCAGGGCAGGGCAGGGAGCAGAGCCCAGGCTGGCAGTGCCCTCTGCAAGGCACGTGCAGCATCCCTCCTCTGCACTCCCCTGCTCCCGTGCCCCATCCATGGGCAGCTGCCAGCTCACAGCCTCTTCCTAATCCTCTGCTGGGGGTGGGCTTTGTCTGATGATAGGTACAGGGACCCACAGCAGTGCAAAGGAAAGCAGCTCCATTCTGTTTTTCTGGGCACGCGGGCCAGGGCGCCGAGCCAACACAAGCACACGAGCTGCAGGATGCCTGTGCCACAGGAGTGGGGATAACCAGGAGGTTCAGGGCCTTTGCTGGGCACCTCAGGGCTCCCAGCATGGATGCAGCACAAACCCAACGTGCCACAGGAGTGGGGATAACCAGGAGGTTCAGGGCCTTTGCTGGAAATCCTCACTGCTCCCAGCATGGATGCAGCACAAACCCAACACGCCATAGGATGTGAGAATAACCCAGAAGCTGCAGAGCCTTTGCTGGGCACCCTTAAGGCTCTCAGCGTGGATGCAGCACAAACCCAAGGTGCCAGCAGCAGCAGGCACCCAACAGCTGCCATTCCAAGGCCGCTGATAAACACAAGGGTACCTGAGGAGCTCAAACCCATGGTGTGGAAACCCTCTTGCTCCAGCAAAGCCAGTTCAGCAGGTCTGATCAGCCTTGGCACTGTGACCCTGACCTGTGGGTATCCCTGTGTGGGGCTGACAGTTTGCATCACTGCTTCAGGCTCTCTGCCACCCACTGGAGGTGCCAACTCATCCCACAGAGCAGCAGTTTTCCCTGAGCCCCTTGTGTGTTTGGGCCCCCAAGGTCAGGTTGGACAGGGCTTGGAGCAGCCTGGGATACTGGGAGATGTCCCTGCCCACAGCAGGGGTGGAACTGGAGCATCTTTAAGGTCCTTTCCAGCCCAACCCATTCCATGACCCATAACCCTGCAGGACCCTGGCCCCACGGGCAGGCAGGGCTGGATCCCAGCTCCCTGCAGCAGCAGCAGGAGGGGGAACCCAGCAGTGCCTCTGGATGGAGTGACCTGGCATAATCCCCCTAAGCAGATTCTCCTCCACTCACTGTCAGGCTCCGGACTGGGAAAGGTCGGGGATTTATCTGTAGTAGTTACAACCAGAAATAATATCTGATTAAATATCCAAAGTGCCTTTATACATCCTTAAATTTCACTTCTAATGAGCATTGTAAAAGCTTGATTTCCCCTCTCAAAGCATCTGCTCTTTATCTCAGTCATTTACCAAATGATTCAATGGTCCAGATCAGAGGCAGATCTGGGTCTGCTGCTGCCCAGATGACAGATCCATGGAATCATCTGGGTTTGGAAAGCCCCCCAAGGCCATCAAGTCTAACCATTCCCCCAGCATGGCCAAGGCCACCACCAACCCCTGTCCCCAGGAGCCACAGCCACATGGCTGTAAACCCCCTCCAGGAATGGGGAGCCCCTGCCCTGGGCAGATGTGCCAAGGCTGGACAGCCCTTCCAGAGGAGAAATTTCCAACCTGAACTGTCCCTGCCTGGCCAAGGCCATGGGGAAGAGCCTCCCTTGAGGCTCTCCCTCCTCAGGGCAGGGCATGAGGCTCAGCTCCAGGCCACCACACGTGTCACAGGCTCTTCCTCCAGCAGCAGCAGTGTCCAAGGAGATGCCCTGCCCAGGCTGGGATCCACCCAGAAACATTTTACATCAGTACAGGTGACACATATCACCTGGCCAGCAGCTGCTGCCCACACACCCCCATGCTCATCTGACCTTCAGCAGCATCACATTCCAAGTGCTACTGAATTGCTCTCATCCCTTTCTATTTTTGCCTGGCAGATTATTTCTATTTAATCCATTAATTCCTTCCCTTTACACTGATGTGACAGATCAGTGTAAAGGGAAGGGGGCAGGGGGCTGAATCAGCTCTGTCAGCCTGCCTGGCTCCAGCTGTGTGTCAGGGCACTGCAAGGTCAAAGCAGCTCCTCTGCCTCCCCACCACACGTTCTGTGCCATGTAACCATCCCTGGTCTGAACTCTTTCAAAGACATTTTGGAAGGAAGAACCACAGGGGAGGGGGGAAATCATGAAGCAGAGACCAGAGGAATGAGCTTTCAAGTCTTACCAGGAATGAGTTTTCAGGGCTCTAACTACCAGTGAGCTGCCAAGATTGGGAAAGGAAGATTGAGGGTCAGATGAGGTTAGAGAAATGGAAGAAGTTTTTTACACTGAGGGTGGGCAGCCCTGGCACAGGGTGCCCAGAGCAGCTGGGGCTGCCCCTGGATCCCTGGCAGTGCCCAAGGCCAGGCTGGACAGGGCTGGGAGCAGCCTGGGACAGTGGGAGGTGTCCCTGCCATGGCAGAGAGGGGAAGAGAGGAGCTTTAAAGCCCTTCCAACCCAAAATATGTTGTGATTCCGTGAGTGTGATTGCTGGGAAGGGCCAGAGCACCCAGACAAGGGCACAGTAGACAGGGCAGCCAAAGGGACTCAGGAGTGGACGTGGAAGATGGAGAGTGAAATGGTGGCAAGGAAGGGAAAGGAGGAATTTTGTGCTGTTCCATGCAATAAGCACAAACGGCCTGGAGGATTTGTTTCCATGGAGCAGGGCAAGTCCTTCTGGTTAGCAAATTGGAGCATCTGAATTCCCCTGGCTCTGGTGGTTCAGTGACAGCACTCAGCCCCTCTGCAGCACACCAGGACAAATCACCCACAGGCCCACGGCCATCTGGCCACACAGCAGGACACAAAAGCCAGAACACTGCAGAATTTCAGTGCTCTGAAAGTGCCACCACAGCACTGAGGGCACTGCCAGCCTCCCAGAAGTGCGGGGAGAGGAAGCAGAGGCATGGAGGGTCCCAGGGCCAGGAGCTGCATCCGGACCCCCTCCACCCACACTCACTGCAAGTCCCTAAAGGAAGATCCTGTCTCAAGGGCTGCTGGCTGAGAGCCAGCTGCTGGATCAATTTTAGAGTGGCTGGGGAGGCAGGCAGAGCTCTGAAGCAGGGATTTCATGAGGCTGAAGCAGTCAGCCCTCTGCCCACACCAGTGGCAGCCCAGCCCAAGCAGAGGGTTGGGAAACACCTCCGGCCAGGGGTCCCAAGCTGCTCCCAGAACCAGGAAGGACAGACAAGGAGGACCATTCTCATTTTTAACAGAGACCATCAAAATGGTATCCTGAGCCAAAGCAGCAGGTACAGAGCTGGCTGTGTGCAGGGAACACAGAGCACTGACAGCTCATGGCCAGGCAGCACCCAGCTGAGCCACCCCCGGGCTCTGCACCCACAGACTCCTTCTGCCCTCTGGGAAGAAGAGAGCAGAGGAGCTGTTCCAGCAGAGCTCCTGCCCCGTGGCACTGGCCGTGCTGCCCTTCCCAGCTGAGGCACAGCTCTGGCTCTGCTGGATCACCTGGGAGGCTTGGAGCCAGGGGATAGCAGCAGGAAAAGATGGATGTGCAGCCCATGCCAGGGAGCATCAAAGGGAAGGAGAAACCACAGAGGAGAGAGCAGAGAGGGGGAAAAGACTGCTTTGTGCAAGGGCTGAAATGGGTGTGAGGAACATTAGCTGCAAATTATACCAATTACTGAGAGAAAAATGCTTGGGCTCCAGATGAAAATGTCGTGTCTGAGGCAGCACCAAAATGAACCAAGCACTGAACACCAACCCGGGCCTGGCCCTGCCTGCTGGCTCTGAGGGAAGCAGGGAAGGGATTGGGGCTGGAGTATTGCAATTATGGCAAATCCAACCTACTGGGAAATGGCTCAATTAAGGGTTTTAAAACACAGGACATAAGAGGCAGGACCAGGTGCAACTGCTCCTCTAGGAAGAAAAACAAGTGCTTTCTTGACCCAGGGCTTTGATTGCCTGAACTACAACAATAAGATTTTTATTTTTAAGGGCTCTTGTTGACAATCTTGACAGGGCAGGTCCTCCTTACTCCTATATTTATGCTCTAATTCCCCTTTGGAAAGACACATTCACCCTGCACATCCTGGCTCAGAGGGAAGAGCTGCTTGGTCCCAGGTGTCACCGGATCCCTCTGCTGAGCTTCAGGAGCAGGTCCCAAAGGCCACCAGACCCCTGCAGTGCCACTGGGGCAGGAGGGGACACACCCTGAGGGGTGCAGGGACTGCCTGGCACTGCTCTCCACAGCCCCAGGTCCCACCAGCAGGTTTCTGCCCCTGGTTGCTGCTGGGTGCCACACTCAGCTCTCCCTGGGGTGCCCACGCTGGGCCCTGCCACCCCCCAGCTCCAGCACAGCCCAGTGTCACCAGCAGCTCCTGCTGACCCCTCCCGCAGCTCAGCCACCTCTCAGGGCCAGCTGAGAAGAAATACTCACTGCCTTCGCTCTGGCTGTCCTTGTTGGAGTTGTACACCTGGAAAACACAAGCAGAGAGCCGTGTGAGGACCCTGCTCCAGCTGGGCTGGGGCTGCTGGCACAGCTGGTGTCACCACAGCGTGTGTGCTGCCAGGACCTCCCCCAGCAGCCAGGTCCCCAAACACCACCATGACCTTCTGCACACAAATGCTGGGCTGGCCCAGCTCTGGAGTTGTGTTAAAATGCTGACCAGGACAGCTCTTAAAATGAAATAATGCAAATGGGATGGACCAGGTAAAAACAGAAGTTAGAGGTTCCTAAACAAAATGAAGGTAGGCTTGGACTGGATGATCTTTAAAGGTCCCTTCCAACCCAAACTGTTCCATGATTCTGTGACTCCTCTCCTGAGAGACACACACAGAGCAAAGCAGGCAATTCCCTAATGGGCACTACAGGAACCTCTGGTAGGTGCAGCTGGGGCAGGGAGCAGCTGCCAACCTCCTCCAGTGCAGCCTGAGCAGGCGAGTCAGGCAAAGAGCAGCAGAGGAAAAGAAATGGCATCAACTGAGAGAGCACCAGAAGTGCAGCAGGATGAGGCACCGAGTGCATCCAGCACTGCCCACAGCAGAGCCACCACCAGGACTCCATCCCAAGCCTCTCCAGCCTCCCAGTACCCATGCTCCTCCTGCCACCCCCATCAGCACACCACCACTGGCTGCTGGAGATTAAAGTGACATTTCAGTGGACACAATAAAAAGGGAAAACACTGGCAGAAGGTTTTAATCATGATGTGAGGGCACTTTAAAAGCCCAGGATAATACCAACAGCAGCTGTTAAGAAGATCAGCCCTCAGACAGGTTGTATTTCTCCAGCTCAACAGAGTAAAATGGTTTAAAATAATCCTCCAGTGCTCAGAGTGCCCCAGGAACACACCCCCACACACAGGTGACACCAAACACAGCAAAGGATCAGGCCTGGAGCACCCTGGCATAGCAGGAGGTGTCCCTGCCCATGGCAGGGGTGCAATGGGATGAG